AGGTGTGGCTGGAGGAGCCTGGCCAGAGCTGCTCTGTGCCTGCAGCACCTGGGGCTGTGCCTGCAGCACTTGCTGCTGGGCAGAGGAATCCGAGTCGCTCTCATTGTCCTGAGGGCTGGGGATGCTGGGCGAGGTGCTCCGGTTGTCCTGGTCGATGTCCTTGGGGTCGCTGCTCCCCTCGTCGTTGACGCTGCGGCTGTCGGAGCTCTCGCCCTCGCCCTCACCCTCTGAGGGGGAGTTGGGCCTGCTGATCTCCTGCAGGGAGAGGGGAACAGTCACCACTGCACCGAGGGCACCCCCAGTGTGCCACAGGATGGGACCTGTCACACCAGTGCAGGGACCCTTTGAACCTCCCAGCACAGGCAACGCGAATATCCAAGGGGAGGGTGCCAAGACAACAGAGTCAGGCTCCTTTCAGGAGTGCCCTGAAATGCAGCAGGTTCTCCCTGAACACAGTGAAACACTTTGAGGGTGACCAGCAATGGAAAAGATTTGTCCTGTGAGGCTGTGAATTCTCCATCTTTGGAGACATTCAAAAGCCACCTGGACACATATCCTGGGCAGTCAGCTCTAGGTGGCCCTGCTGGAACAGAGAAGGTGGCCTAGATGGCCTCCAGATCCCTTCCAACCTCAGCCATTCTGGGATTCTCTGTGGAAATATGGAAAGCTCAAGTTCAAAATTTCCAAATCCTATGCACAGAGTGAACACCTGGGCAGATACACAGAGACATCCTGAAAGTATTTCATCTGAGCTTTGATACCAGTGAATTAAGAGAACTCCAGTGGTAGTCTTCTAACTTTCCACAGAACAGGAAAAAATAAATTTAAAGTAAAAAAAATAGGGGTGGAAGGGGTGGAAAATAGTCCAAGTGTACTCCTATATGGTTGATGTTGATATTAAAGCAAAAAACAACTTCTGGACTTACCCTGTATCATTCCACTCTTTTCAACAGAAGGAACACATTACAATATTGGTTCCTTTCCAGCCCCAGATTAAGTTACAATTTGCTGTGGCTTAAATTGATTTCATGTTTTTGGTTTGTTACCAGGTTTGCAACCACCCCCCACCCTCTCAAACCATTCTCCTAAGAGGAAATATTCCTCTGTGGGACTCACTTGAGTTTTGGATTTTTTGGCATTGGACCTGTCGGGTTCCTCTGTGTCTGACGCTGCCTTTTCCCGCTGCCTCTTGGAGTTCTTGAGAGGAGAAGACACCTCTTCTTTTATCTTCTGCCACAAGGGAAGCAGAACACAGCAGTTACCAGTGGTGTAAATGCAAAAGTAAATTGAGTGTATGCCTGTGATACCATATTTAACACAAATACAGGAGAAGGGTTCCTATGGAGCAGGAGAACTCAGAAGCTGAGATAGTCAGTATTTAACAACAACCCAACAGGCATCAAGCTAACAGGAAAAAGGAGTGAATAAAGCATTCCTCTTAGCAAGGGGTATTTTAAAGAGCTGTGCAGGACCAAGTCCACCAGGAACTCATGGCAGATCAACTGGCCCAGGTTACTCTTCTAACAGAGCCCAACACCAGCTGTTAAGAGAGGATGGAACGAGAATTTCTGCAGGAGACAGGCACAAGATAAGCCTCATTAAAGTCCTGCTTTACTCCTGATATTTTGAGAGGAATATTTTTAGATCCCCTCAAATACAGGGCTATAGCTATTATAAGACTACTGCCTTCTTTTGTGGCCTGGGACAGCTTTATACATCACATAATTACCTAACCTAACTAACTTCAAATTCTGCCAGGTTTTCAGTTTTATAATGTGAAAACCTGCTCCATACTCCAGTTTTGACTCTTTTTTTAAAAATATTTATTTTTAACTCGCTACTTTTTTGCTTAGTGGCAAGTCTTGCTGTTTCATGTGGCTTTTGTTTCTTTAGAACTCCCTCGGAAAGACATTTATTCATTGAAACAGAATCAACTGTCAGCTTTGCTCTGAAAAATCAAACAAATACACCTCCAGAAAAACAGTAACAGAAGTAGCCTCAATTACCACACATTCAAATTCCTTTGTAAACAAAGACTAAGTACTGCTTAAAAAAAAAAAAATCCTTAAAAAAACCCCAAACTGTCTACTTGTCTCAAATACAGCATTTCTGAGCTGTATTACCTCCCTGAGCTTAATGCCTGCATTTGCATCTGAAATGGGAGGATTAATTTCTCGTGAGAGCAGAAAGGTTATGTGGGGATATCTGAATGGTCTGCACAGGAACTCAGCAGCAGCTCAGCTGCACCGGGACATTCTCTGCTTATCCACACAAGCAGGAATTTCTGGGTCACGGGGAGATTCTCCAGCCTCCTGCAGCCTCGTGTGTCTGACTGAGAGGCCTCAGGTGTGCTGTCCTAACACACAAAAGGCGTGGGAAAAGGTTACCTTGGTGGATTTTTTCACCGAGTCTGCCTTGCTGTCGTTGCTGGAGGTGCTGGCGGCGCTGGGCGAGTTGCGGCCGCTGGACCTGATGTCCTCGGTGATGGGGGAGGCTCTACCATCGGGGCTGGCTGGCTGCTTCTTCCGACCACTGCGTAGTGTAGACATCTGGGGTTCAACACAGACAAGTGGATCCAAGTCAGAATCTGCCCAACCTCTTGGATTTCCTCTGCCTCACAGCAGGGGCGTGCACGAAGCGCTCGTGCCAAGAGCTCGAGAACCAAAAACCAGGAGCGCTGTTACAACTTCTCCTTGAAAGCCCATCTGGACTTCAAAGGAGGCAAATCCTTCATTTGTCTACTCAAAACCAGTAAGTGCTGATTATTTAATTTAGTACTGTCTGTCAGAAGTAAGGTTAGAAAGATGTTTCAATGCACATTTGCAAGTCTGCCTACACACAGGAGTGAATGAGACAGGAGAGGACCCCCACGTTCCACTAAAAATAGTCTATCTGTTGGCATCCAAGCAGTCAAGCCCAGGTTCTAAACCCCCAGTTTGTGTGCTCCTAGTATGTAAAAAGGGGCCACAGTCAAGTTTATTTCAATAATTCATGCTGTTTCCCTCCCACTTTGGCAGTTTTTCTGGATGACTGGCTACCATAAAAGCAATGAGCCAACATTACCCGAGAGCGGAGCCTCACAAGAGATTTAGAATCAATGGTCATATCATCATGATCACAAAGACAGGGAGGGGAGGGTAAGGAAAAGAAATCTATCTGCTGCTTTCAATCAGCCAAATCCAAATCAAAGATCAAATTAGCCAGAGCTGCTGTCAGAGCTCTCCCAAGTGATTTGCTCACAGGAAGGCTCCCAGCGTTCCACCCTGAGTAACAACTCAGGGACAGGGCACACCAATCACAGAGGCAAAACAGAGCTCTCTGCAGGGAAGAGATCTGAACTCCAGTAATATGAGGAGACCACATGAACAGCATCTAATTTTTTAAAACTCTTCCCAAGGGCTTAACTCTGACAGGATCCAGCTGGAAGGAGGACACGTACTAGAACAGAATCTCTAACACACTGTCAAGTCCCCCCTTACAATGCCAGTCCACTGCCAGTCATTACAAACATGGAAATAACTGATCTGAGCTTGCAGAGACATTTCTGCTCCTTTTTCCAAAGAAAGCCTCAACCTCAGCAAAGCTCACACAGAAATGCAGCAGCAGGCCCAGTCCAAGTGAGATTAGCTCAGCTGGTGCTAAAAATGCCAAGGTCATGGGTTCAACCCCTGTATGGGCCATTCACTTCTGAAGAGTTGGACCTGACGATCCTTGTGGGTCTCTTCCAACTGAGATTATTTTGTGTGGTTCTGTGGAACCAGCACGATGGAGAAAGGGTCAGTTGAGGAGTCTGACCCTTCTCCACCAGAGGATGAGGGTTAAACCTACCGAGCCTCGACTCCGCCGTGTCCTCATGCTATGCTTTCCACTGAGTCCATCATCTTCCTCTTTGACAGGCTTGAACATAAAGGGTGGAGGGTCAACTGGCTTCTCGATGGGTGGCAGCTCCCCGTACTTCTTGAAGTGAATCCGACAGTCCGTGCACAGCAGGATGTTCTCCCGCCCGCCGTGGTGCCAGTCCTTGGAGGCTTGGGGCAAGGAGAGCAACAGCTCAGCAACACAAAAGCACCAGGTCCCCACAGAACAAGCACACTGGATTATTTAAAAAGCTGCAATTAGAAAAGTAGCTGCTTTTCTAAGGGGTAACAAAGTTGGAGAAGTTTCTGGAGAACTCTGTCCCGTTCCAGTGCACATCTTCAACGTTCAGTTTACAAACTAGTTGTTTGCTTGAGAAACTACAGCTTTGAAAGCAAAGAAAGAAGCCTTATCTGCTCTACCTGGGAGCTAACAGGCAGCTGTTGTTCTCCAAAGCTGTGGTTTCTGCAAGAGCAGCGAGCTGTGAACCTCTCATTTCCTTCCCTATTTTGGGGCTCACGTTTCCATGCCCAAATATCAACCAACCTTCAGAGCACCCACAGGAACGGGGCTGATGCAGAAGAGATTTGGTGCAGCATAAAGAAGTTGTGTGTGTGACAGTCACAGCCCAATATTGATTCATTACATCACAAATTGATTACATAGATTGTGGATTATGGAGATTTATTCCTGTATAAATGTCTACCCCAGGGTTCTCCTTTGTCACTGCAATATTAATTTGCAATGGCAAAGCCTGATTAACCCTGCAAGGAGGAATGCTGCATATTTTAGCTGATTCAACCCCACTTTTTTTTTCTGAACAGCTGTACAAGCACACAGACTGTTCCTGCTTGAAGGAACCCACATGAAACAGGCAGCAGAAGGGAAAACCAGCAGTGAACTGGGACATACTGGTGGTGAAGCAGTGGCGGCAGGCGTAGCCCTTCAGCTCCTGTTCACTGTCCTCGCTGTCAAAGTCATCTTCACTGGCCGAGCTCAGGTCCACTGAACAAGTGAAGAACAAGGGGAAAAAGAGGAAAATGGAAAATAAAACACTCAGCAGGATTTTTCTATTTCCTCTTACTTGGCTAAAATAACCATTAATAAAAATAGCTGGTGACTTCCTACAACCACCCTGCCTTGCATGGCCATTAGTTCTGATTTTTCAAACTAGGCAAGGCCAGACCTCATCAGCCTCCAGGTTAAAGGAGGATTCCAGGAACGTGCCAAGTGACACAACTCACAGAACTTGATTCAGTACACGGTACATTTCCAGATAAATTGTCATTCAGATGTCATTCCTGGGGAGCTGGAGAGGCTGTGTTCCAAAAACACAATTTTCAAGGTTTCTCTCTAGAACACATTCAAATTTAAAACCTAGTATTCTATACTTAAAACCTACTTTGCTACATTTAATGAGCAGACACTGTAGTGGCTTTTGTGTTTTTTATTTTGCTTCCAGACTTCACCTTCCAGCCCAGCTGAGGACCAATGTCACGCTCTGTTAGACACTGGCTGTATTTAACCAGGAGCAGATGTGTTTGTGGGTGGAAGAATCAATGCTTACATATAATGGACCTGTTTGGAAAACATGCTGTGATTCTTTTGGATGAGAGGCACTAAAGGACACCACCAGCTTTCCAGTCCTTACTCAAGCCTCAGAGAGCTTCAACCCGTGGCAAACTCACATTTCAAAACCACGTTTCAAAGAAGAGGAGGACATGGAAAGGGCCCCTTTCCTTTGTGGCAAGCAGTACACAGCAAATTAGCAGATTAAAAGGCTGTGAGCAAAAAAGCAGCATCTGAACCACCAAAAATCTGCAGACACCACAAAAACTGTATCTTATCTTCTAAGCAACTCAGGAGTAAATCCCTTCTTTCTGAGAGCGCTGCGTTTTTCAAGCACCACCACTATAAATTCACAACATAACAGGTCTGTAATTTGTCACAAGCAGAAAGCCCTCTGGCTTCTTTTGTTCTAATCCTTAATTAGAAGAGAAGTCCTTGATGCAAGAACACTGGTTTTCTAAAGGTTCCAAGAGGGTGTTTTGTACATGCAGGTTATAGTTTATGGATTATAGCTTATGGATTCTGCAGTAGCTGCCATCAGCATTTGTCAGCAACTCGTTACCCTTCAATTAACACAGGGCCCCATCTAATAACCAGCACCACCATAATCCCCACAGTAATTCCTGCAGGTGTTTTAACCCTGACTGCAAAACTGACCCCAGGCTAGGACTTGCTTTCTTTTACTGAATTGATTTTTATTCTCATCCTGCACTCGGATCCATATGGACAGATCCTTCCAACCACAAGCTCTGTGATGTGCTGACTATCTTGGATTGAGCTGTAGAGTCCAGATCCTCACTTCTTGTGCACACAGAAACCAGCAATAAATCCTATCGATTCAGCAAGGAAAAACTAACAGCCCTTTCCTACCACCTCACTACCACCCTCTCCAGAATTCTGTCCTGCCTGATCACCACATCCTCCACCTCCCCCACATTCTGCCTTCCACACACAGTCCCCCTTCCTTACAAGGCACGTGAAACGTGCTGGGTTTAGTCCACAGAAAGACTCTAAACCTCACAGGGTAATTAATACAAAGCCTTTTATATAAGGATGAAAGTTTCTATCTCCAAATGGATGTTGTTGATCATAACCCTGTGCAGTGCAGCACATGCAGCTGGTTTGGGGAACTACTCTTTGTTTGGACACTTCTGCTCCAGTCAAGGCCAGTGTTCTCCCAGGATACCCTGAGACAGTGCTGGACACAGCACCCACTCTGAGGTCCTGCACAAGGTGTGGGTCACCCAGGCAGGATGGAAGGGACTTCCTTCTTTCTGTGCTTCCCAATTCCCGACACTGTAATAAGCCTGGATTAAAAATCCAGCACAACACCAAGAAAAGAGCAGGGAAATTCAACACCAGGGCAATATTTCCATCCTTCCAGGATGCTTTCATGTTGAAGAACTGCACAAAGCACTGGGTGATCAAAGCCGCCTTCCACATTCCAGCATAATGGCGCAGGAACCGGAGAGGGCAACTGCCTGAACTCCATTTCCTTGCTCCCTTGAAGGTACAGCACCATTACATGGCTGTTGCTGCCTGCATTTAGACAAAGATAAATGCATTGCTTTTAGCTCCCACTTACAGAATTCACTGGAGGGGGGCCTGGAGGGAGTGTTGACTGGAGTGGAAGCGGTTCGAGTTTTAATTCTCCGAAACACAGCCTGCCTCCGGTGCCTACGGTGGGCTCGAGAACTTGCTGCTTCAGGGGTTTTCTTCCAATAGTAATAGAAGGTGATTAGTTCTCCCTGCAAACACAGAAGGAGTATGTTAGAGGGACATGCAAATCTGACTCGTCAGCTTTCTCCCTCCCTCGTGCCTCTCTGCGTGCACACACGTATTTTTGTAGGAACAATCACGAGGTACTTCAGCCAGATGAAAGAATTATTCAGTAAGACAGAAAATAAAAAACCCTCGTTATTATTTGTCTGCTTTTGCAAGCGAGGAAAAGAAGTAAATGGATGGTTTTTCACTCCTTGTCTAGAAAAGGAAAGAGTTTGGGAAGCACATATCCAGGCTCCACCTGGATGCTGCAGGCACTGCTGGTCCTGGGATTCAGAAGAGGGTGCCCTTGTCTCACTGTCAGCATCCCCTGACACCTCTGCTCTGCTCAGGAGAGGCACAACCTCCCACTGAGTTCTGAGAACAGACATCACGACACTGCTACAAATCTACAAATCCTCTGCCGTTCCCAGAAAGAGTAAGGCTCAATCCAAACAGACACTGCCATTTTGTCAACCCACACTCTACATACAGCTATTTGTCCAATATTCCTGTTTAAGAAGCTGAAAGTCAGAAGGAAAACGTGTTCAACAACAAGTCTATAACCGTAACACAACCCTACTACAGTAAATGGTGTTTTAATTTGAATATATATGCCCACATCTAAATTAATTAAGCAGTTAAAAGAGCACACCTAGAGAAATGAGTGATAATTTCACAGCATAATGAATCTGGCTTACATTCAAAAAGTGGAGCAGCTGCCATTCAAACTGGAGGATGTAATGCTGAACCAAAGAACAGCATGTGGTTTTAATCTCTTTTCTCTTACTTTGAATCCCCATCATTTCCTGGCGACTTGTCTGCCTCTGAGGTAAAAGGTGTTGTTGCTTTCAAGTTGCAAGAGAAGAACGGAGAAGTTCTAACCAGCCTCTTGAAAAAAATCAACATCAGAACAAACATACCTGAATTGCCCACAAAAAGGGTTCCTTTGAACCGTGTTTTTATGTGATCAAATAACCTCAGCCTGCTCCCTCGTGGGGAAATCCTGCAGCCCCTGCTCAGGGCAGAGCAGGGAGTTAACTCAGACCTGAATCCAAACCTTCCCAAACAAGCAATTAACAGCCACCACTAATACCTGGCCCCCTGAAACACCCTAAAGACAAAAGGAGGATGTTGTTCTAAACATTAACTGCTGATATTTAATGTGCTTAAGAGTTTTATCAATGCCTACTTTAAAAATGGAAACCCCAGAAAGAAGAACAACTGTGATTTCTGGCACCAGGCAGAAATAGATAATTTTTAATCTGAGCTGCTGCAGACTGGGATGATGCTGCTGATCCTCACCAGGAACCTAAACAATATTAATGTATTATATATTAAAGTAACAAGTATTCAGAGTGGTAACTGGTGAGGAAGAGGAGAAAGTGGGCAAAACATTACCTACAACTGTCGATTCTGAAGCACAAACACTCTACTAAAAAAAAATATTTAAAAAAATAAGTGTTTCTCAAAGAGAATTTAAAACTGGTTGGCAATGAGTACCCAACTATGTCAAACTGGGACAGAACAAGGAGTTCTGACCCCAGCACCCTGCTCTGCCACTGCCTGTTCCTCGTGTTTGCTTTAGAAATACCATTTCACTGAGTGCACTCAGTGGGCTCAAAGTCCATCCAGCCCAACTGTTTGTCCAACAGGGATATGCCCCGTGCCAGAGGCAGGCACAGCTCTGCACAAAAGCTTATGCAATGCTCTTGCAAATGAAACCAGCCACTTTTAACCTATAAATTCATTTATATCAAATCTGAGGTGTCAGCACCAAGGAGCAAGTCAGTAAATCCCACATCTTTATGTCAGTGAATTAATGTGTCCTCTGACACCTGGCAACAGCAGAGTGCAAACCAATCTGTTCTCCTCCCATCATAAAATAGGGAATGGGAACCTATTTGAGCTCAATTTACACACTGCAAAGCCATCAGGTCCCAAGGGAAGTTTAACAACTCATATCATAAACCAAACTTTAAAAAAGAAATGGTGTGTATTTATTAAAAACGCTGACTTCATGATCACAAGGATTCCCCCCCCACCCCCAGACCCTCCTGAAAGCGCAGCCACAACCACAGGCAGATAAAGACGAAGTAAAAGTCTATTTATTCAACAACCAGTTAACCCAACTATGAAATCTGGAGAGATCAAACGACCAAAGAATGTTCTGTACTTCAAATTCAGCGTTGGACTGCACAGCTACAACACTCAGTAAATGACTCTGAAGTAAGAGAGAGGAAGCACAGAGAGAATGGCAACGTCACACACGGGTCACACAGGTACCACAGGGAACAAATTCCATGCCAGATCTTATTAGCCACCTGGCTACCTAACGGGCATTGTCTACCTAAGGGATTAAACGCTGGAGTGGAGTGAGCCTGGCAGGATTAGACCCAGCTCGCTGCTGGCTGCATGGGTGGCACAAGCTCGAGCACAAAGGAGTAAGCCAGGGAAGCTTTGGTTCTCCAAACAGGGAGTAAAAAACCAGCTTCCAGCAAAGAAGTCAAATGAACTTTAATCAAACATGCAGAGTGTGTGCTGCTGAAAGCCACGGCACATAAATTCGGGAACAAAAGCCGCTGCAGAAATCAATAGCCTCCTGAAACATTAACACAGGCCAGCATTGATCAAAGGCCCCGGGACAAAAGGCTGCCTTGCAAATTAGCTGCTGGTTTTGCTTGCAAGCAAACAGAAAAGCATGAACGCGCTGACATGAATGGCCTGTAATGATCATTTTGTTCCTGGTGATCTCACCTCACCTCACCACAAGGTCTCGCAGTCAACACATCCCACAGCTCGGAGCTGTAATTGCCAGCAGAGACGCTCTGCTGGCTGGGGGAGGGCTGGGGGCAGCTGCTCCCCCTCGGATTTTCTGGGTAGCAGAAAAATCCCGGGGAACAGCCCTAACCAAAGAGCCTCAAACATGCTGTGTGTCTCCTCTGAAGTGTTCTGTGCCAGGAACTGGGGACTGCTAAACCATGCACACTAAAATCACACAGGTTAAAGCAGACTGAGCCATCCTTCACTGCAGCATCAGATTCGTTCAATTCTGGAGTGACACGTCCTAATGAGATAAATTAAGGAAGGGTGAGACCACCGAGGCAACCACTACCTGGCTGATGATGGAAGAGAAAGCTGTGTTGCTGACCTGTAATTGTCCACTTGCACCTTTTCTTACCTATAAATCTAGTATGTTAGAAGGAAAATCCCAATAAAATGACCCACACATTTACTCCAACACGACCCCTCAAACAAGCAGCTCTAATTCCTGTACTGTGCCACATCCAAGAAAGATGCTATTAGTGCCCTCCCAGATCAGCTCCATCATGGCCCAGCTTTTTCTTTTCCATCTGTGTGGGCAGAAGATTCATCTCTTTTCCTGTTCACAGTAACAGCCTCACCTCCACCTGATGCACCACCCCCTTTTTTTTCCTGCAAACACAACTGCATTTTTCCATGTAGACGTCTGATTAACTGTCCCAAGCAATTTAGGAAACATATAAAATGAGAGGCATTATCCAGGCTTCTAATGCCACGTTTCCTCAAGAACACCTACTTTCCCACCACTGAAGTTTCACGACACAGAGGGGGTGTGTTCTTCACTAAAACCACGGTTCAGCTTCCATCAATTCTGAAATACATCGGGAGCTCACGACAAAAATCTCCTGCCAAGGCCATTTCACCCCACGTCGTTGGTGCATATAGAAAAGTCACACTTTATTCTCCTTTTAGCTCCGTTCTAGGGATCATTTTTGAAGAGAAAGACGTGGTTCAGATCCCTCTTGCAGGAGGACACAGCAGTGAGACTTTCTCAGCGATTTAGAGCTGACACAAGACTTTGAGTGTCCCCCAGCCCTCATCCCCCCTAACCCAGCACTCCTGCACGAGTAGGGGATGGATTCCTTGGCATGTGGCACCTTTCTCTGACCTCTCCCACTGTTTTCACCCAGGTGTTTGTGCAGCTCAACCCAGCTCCCCAAACCACATCCCACAGCACCGGGGCAGCCTCCCCAACCAACCTTTACACTCCCAGGGGCGCCAGCAAACCTGCAAGTCCTGGCTTCCCACTTCTTATCGGCAGTTTTCAAATGTAAAATACACACCGTGAGCTGTGCCCCGTGTTTGTGTTTAGTCTTGCCTTGGGTAAACAAAGGATTAAGGCTGTGTGTGCCTTTCTGGATTGGAGAGGTTCTGACAGCCCTGCAGCAGCGCTGCTCCTGTGGAAGCCAATCACACACATCAACTTACCTTCAAGTATCTGTTATGGTATAACAGAGTGAGCAAACATAATAATTGCTGTTTAATTTCCCCAGAGCCCAGCTCTGCCAGGGGGGAGAAAAAAAAAAATCATGGGGGTGGGGAATAGCTTTACAGTAATTAAACAGAAAAGGTAAATGACAGAGCTCCTCAATGGCTATAAACCAGCCACGGCAGAGCAGAGGGGAACAGATTGTCCAGCTGTGGCCTTAATGAATTCACAATCTTTCTGGAATGCATCAAGATTTTATTAAGTCAACTCAATTTAGCTAATGCTCCTTAAAGTCCTGCAGTAAAAACAGTCTCCAGCCCTTCCCTCCTTCACTGGATCCCTGGCTTTGACAGAGTCTTGCTCCAACATCTGCTCCAGTGCCTGTTTGCCACGGGGTGGATCAAGAACGTGGAGTTTTGGATACTGGGAAGTGTATGGAATCAGTACAGACCAGTGTATCCATCTGGCACCTCCAGGCTGCTTCCCCAAACTTTACAGAGTGACCCCAAATACTGCCACGCACTGCTGGACTGGGAGACAGAGCTGAAGGTGCCCGACCCTTCCATCACACACATCCCACACCCCAGAGCTGCCAAGAGAAGAGGCTGCCCAGGGGAGTGGTGGCATCACCAAACCTGCAAGGGCTCCAAGAACACGTGGATGTGGCACTGGGGGACTGTGCTGGGTTAACAGCTGGACTCAGCCATCTCAGAGGGCTTTTCCAACCTTAGGGAT